GCCCAGGAGTTTGAGGTTGCTGTGAACTATGATGCCACAGCGCTCTACCCAAGGCAACAGAGTGAGACTGTTTTTAAAAAATCCAAAAACCCCCCAAACTCCACAACAGAACCATTAATGGATATTATCCTCATTTTGTAGCTGAAATAACCAATGAACAGAGAGGGCAGGCACATTTTCCATGATTACCCAGCCAGCAGTTGAACAAGTCCGAGATAGCTAAGTCTGTGCTGTACAAACTTGAGGCTCATGTACCTCTTGCAAAGTGGGTGGAGGACACAAAATCATGCAATAAACGTGGTGCTAACTACTGGAACTATCTTACTTGATAACTTAGGGAAAAATATTTTCATATTCTGTTTTTCATAGAAAAAAATTTTTATTGGAAAACAATATTTAAATGGATTATCAGAATGAAACATAACTTGGAATTGTGTATCAGCTGTGGCCACCTGCAGTCCTTGCCCCTTGTCATCCCTGCCTTGTCACTGGGGGCCATGTTCCCCATGTAGCATGCATCAGGTGTTGAATGCAGCCACTTCCTTTTCTTTCCTGCCAACAGAACCCGTGTGGGTCAGGTCTTGGTGTTCTGCCCGCTAGGGAGGTCTGAGCTCTCATAGTGCCCCCATGTGATTGGTTCAGGCATGGGTCAGCAAGAGGACAGGGAAAGTTGGGGGAAATTTTTTGTCTTCCTCAGAAGGGACACAAGGCCAGGGCATTACTTCATTCCCGAGACAAGTGGACATGTGAGGTGAAGCTAGAGGCATGGCAGCCATGTTGTGATCAAGAGGAGTGGCCAGCCTGCTTCGAATTGGTGGTGTTGTGAAGCCTCCCAATAAACCATCCCTGGAGTTGGCCTTTCTTCGTTAAAAGAAACTCTTTGTGTAAGCTTAAATGAGAAAAAAAATTCATCTTTATATACACGAAGACTTAGGTAGATCTTCACATTTCCTTCTATTATGAAGGCAGGCTACAAATCACAGGAGGATGAGCCATGCCCATGACCTTGCCATCAAAAGAAATCACAGTTATTTTTATACCTCTTTACAATTGTTGTGAACAACTCAAAATATTGTTATGCTCCTCCTGACTTTGAAATTATAGCAGCTTTGAGACCTGCTGTTAAACTCTCTTTAATTGTTAATGAAAAGCACATCTATTACTATAGCTCAAAGAATTTTGTAATAGTTCGTATTGTGGCCCTGAGAATGCACCTTGCACGCCTCCCACTGCAGGAGAGTAATTGACAGAGAGTAGCAGCTGCTTCCAGCTGAGGCCGAGCTATGTTGGCCAGGCCTACTCGCTGGGGCTGCTCCCAGACAATGACTGAGCCCTGAAGACTGGCCCCTTCCTGAGAGACAGAGGGCAGGGGTCTCCTCCTTGACAGCCTACTTTGGCTCCAGGCATCCCAGAGGCCTTGTGGAACTTTCCACACATAAGCTGCTCGGTGCTAGGAGCTTCCACCTTTTCTTACTCTCTCCTTCACTCCTTTCCCTCTTCCCTCCTCCCTCCTTCCTTTTGAAAACTCTGGGTGGACCAGGACCAATAAGTCAGGAAGACAGGCCTCATGGGGAGAGTAGAAGGAGTCAATTTAGAGCATTGTTCTGTTTTTGTTGTTGTTGTTGAAACAGAGTGTCAAGGCTTGTGCCTGTGGCTCAAGTGGGTAAGGTGCCAGCCACATACACCTAAGGTGGCGGGTTCAAATCCAGCCTGGGGCCGCCAAAACAACAATGATGGCTGCAACCAAAAATAGCCAGGCATTGTGGCGGACACCTGTGGTCCCAGCTACTTGGGAGGCTTAGGCAGGAGACTCACTTGAGCCCAGGAATTGGAGGTTGCTGTGAGTTGTGATGCCATAGCACTCTACCCAGGGAGATAGCTTGAGGCTCTGTCTCAAAAAAAAAAAAAAAAAGAAAAGAAAC